AGAGTCTTGCTCTCACCCAGGCTGGAGTGCAGTGGCGCGATCTCGGCTCCCTGCAACCTCTGCTTCCCAGGTTCACACAATTCTCCTTCCTCAGCCACCTGAGTAGCTGGGATTACAGGCTCTTACCACCACACCTGGCTAATTTTTGTATTTTTAGTAGAGACAGGGTTTTATCATGTTGGTCAGGCTGGTCTTGAACTCCTGACCTGTTCCATCTGCCAGCCTCAGCCTCTCAAAGTGCTGGGAGTATAGGTGTGAACCACCACGCCTGGCCAGGCTCACCTATCTTTAAACATGTGATGAAGCTTGGGAAGACTTCCCTCTTCATTTTTCCCATGGCTCACTCTTTCTTATGTCCAGGTTGCGGCTCCAATTTTTTTTCCCTCATACCCTATTAAAAATAGTAGTCTCCCCAACCAAATCATTCTCTCTCACATTACTGTTGTTTTTCTCCAGTTTCTTTTACTATCTATATGTATAATTTTGTTTGCTTGTTTGAGTCAAATCACTTCTTAACGTTTCCATTGCTGTTCCTAGTCCTAGTCCAAGTCATTATTCTAGATTTTTTCAACTACCTGTTAATTGGTCTCCCAGTTTCCATTTTTGTTTCTTACGCCTATTTCCCACAGAACAATAGGTATCTTGAGCAGTGTAAATCAGATCACATGACTGTTTCTGTCTGAAATTCCCCCTTGGCTTCATATTATACTTAAAATTGAATATAGCGCCCTCCTTCCTTGAAGGTATATTAAGTTTAATAATTTAAAAAAGTTTTTATTGATAGATGGAGATTTTAAGATTTTTTTTTGGAGATAGCTCTGATTTTTGATAGTTAAGTTTAGTGATTTAACTTGTTTCTAATTGTTTTCTTTCTTTTCTTAATCCCAAATGTGATAGTTTTTTTTTGTTTGTTTGTTTTCTTTTTTTCTGAGATAGCATCTAACTCTGTTTCCCAGGCTGGAGTGCAGTGGTGGGATCTTGGCGCACTGCAACCTCTGCTTCCTGGGTTCAAGCAACCTGCCTACTTTAGCCTCCTAAGTAACTGGGATTACAGGTGCATGCCACCATACCTGGCCAATTTTTGTGTTTTTTGGTAGAGGTGGAGTTTCACCATGTTGGTCGGACTGGTCTTGAACTTTTGACCTCAAGTGCTCTGCCTGCCTTGACCTCCCAAAGTGCTGGGTTTGCAGTGTGAGGCACCACACCGGCCATGTTTCTAATTTTTATAGAAAAATATATCACAGCCAGAACATGAGACTAAGAGGTTGAGACTATCCTGGCCAACATGGTGAAACCCCGTCTCTACAAATAATACAGAAATTAACCAGGCATGGTGCTACACGCCTGTAGCTACTCGGGAGGCTGAGGCAGGATAATCGCTTGAAAATGGGAGGTGGAGGTTGCAGTGAGCTGAGATCATGCCACTGTACTCCAGCCTGGGTGATACAGCAAGACTCCATCTCGGAAAAAAACAAAAAATAAATAAATCCCCTAAATTTGGAGAAAAGAAACTTTACAAGTCAAATTTAGTATTATAGAAATCTAGGAGTTAGAATGAATCTTTTTTTTTTTATTTTTTTTTTATTTTGAGATGGAGTTTCATTCTTGTTGCCCAGGCTGGAGCGCAGTGGCGCCATCTCAGTTTACTGCAACCTCTGCCTGCCAGGTTCACGTGATTCTCCTGCCTCAGCCTTCTGAATGGCTGGGATTACAGGTGCCCACCATCATGCCTGGCTAATTTTGTATTTTTAGTAGAGATAATGTTTCTTCATGTTGGTTAGGCTGGTCTCAAACTCCCAACGTAAAGTGATCGCCCACCTTGGCCTCCCAAAGTGTTGGGATTACAGGCGTGAGCCACCACGCCTGGCTAGAATTATCATCCAATGTCTAACAACTTTACATACTTTAGAAATTGAAGCTCAGAGAGATGAACTGCTTTATTCAAGTTATAACTAATTAATAATAATAGGGCTGGGGAAAAAAAAATCTCAGTTTTTCTTTTCTTCCAACTCAGAGTCCTCATCATCTGTTAGTTTGTGATGCCTATTTAGCAATTTTTTTTCTTTCCTGCCTCAGGTGTATTTGTACAAATAGCACAGGAAGACGCCAGCCCTATGCAGACAGCAGCCCTGGTGGGGGGTTGCAACAGTCCTTCTGGCCTCATGTTG